CTGCTATTATGAAATCAACCAATAACAAATGCTGACGGGGCTGTGGGGAAAGAGGAACCCTGCTCCACTGCTGGTGGGAGTGGAGACTGGTGCAAGCACTGTGGAAATCAGTATGGAGACACCTCAAAGAAGTAGGACTGGAAGTCCCATTTGAGCAGGTATTTCCCTGCTGGGTATCTTCCCAAAAGAATTAAAAGAATCATACCACAGTGATATATGTGCATCCATATTCATAATAGCAAAATTTGTAATAGCTAAAACTTGGAAGCAGCCCAATTGCCCATCAACTGGAAAGTGGATAAAGAAAATGTGGGGTTCCCCTGGGCAATTGCTCTGTGGTTTCCATAACTGTAGATCAGTTTCCCTTGGCCAGTATTGAATCCAGAGCCTTCACACTGAGCTACATCCCTGGCTCTTTTGTTTTGTTTTGGTTTGTTTTGTGTTTCAAGGCTAGGTCCCGGTCACTACATTGCACAGACTGGGCTGGAACTTTCAATCCTCCTGCTTTAGTCGCCCAGAATGCTCATCTTCTGGAGTAGCAGTTAAATAACAGTTTACATGGAACGTGGAAATCAATATATGGAAATATATTCAAGCTATTTAGAGACTGAAAGTGTGAAAAAAAGTTCTAAGGGATCACCTCTACTGTCCAAACCAGATGGGATCATCTATTGCCAGGTGTGTTCATTGAGGTGCTCACCCTCTCCTGTGTTCAGATGTCTCACAAAGGTAACAAGAATCTGGAAATGTGGGCAGAGGGAGGGAATTTAGTGGCCAAGGTCCAGGAGGCTGTGGAGGACTTAATTTAACCCTTGGAGCCATTATCAGTCTTGCAATTATGAATCCCTTTTTCAGTAAAGATTTTGTCAGGTGGTTGGATCTTCCCTACTCCTCTGGAACTGCCCTCGCCTTCCTGGGTCCCCACTTGGACTGTGGAGGCTTCCCACAGATGTCTCCAGTCCAGAGCCCCCCATGTCCCCCAGGTGGACTGGGAAAGGGTGAGTCCAGGCCCAGTGGCCATGCTGAGACTCTCAGAAACCAGTGCCTTTGCTTGGCCTCAGGAAAACACCCAGCTGCAGGGGCTGGAATGTGACTCTAGGAATCCAATGAGAAGGGCTTGGGTGGGCGGGGCCCACGGGTCCACTGAGAATGATGCCAGATGGCCAGCCCTGGCCAGAGTTCGGGTCACTCAGGGAGTCCTTCAATATGTTGCTCTCTAACACATCTGAATGTGTTAGCCCAAATAGAAAGTTAAAATGACCTACAGAGAAAAATGTAGATGATATTTTTATAATTCTGTATTAAATAAAAAGACAGTAATCTCCAGTGTTACTTAAAATAGAAAATTAAAATGACCTATAGAGAAAGATTAAGACAATTTTTGCATAGCTTTATTCATTACATAAAATATATAAGTTAATATAATTACACGGTGAGGTACCTGGGGCTTTTTTAAAAATGATTTTTGTCTTTATCATTCCCTACTTTGTGTGTGTGTGTGTGTGTGTGTGTGTGGTGCCATGGATCAAACTCAGGACCTTGCACTTGCAAGGCAGGCCCTGTGCCACTGAGCTGAATCCCCGGCCCCCTTGGCGCATCTTACAGCTAGAAAAATATGTTGAGGAGAACCAGAAACACTGTACAAGGGCTCTCTCCAGGCTGGCTCATCCATCAACGCATTGATTGAACACAGTGGCTTTGCTACCTCGTAGCCGCTTCGCGGGAATCACACTGAGCAGCTCAGCAGTGGAGACACGTGTGGAAAACACTCAACATGGTCACATTGAAGCGGTCATGTGGTGGAAAGTGTTGTGCTGACATCCACATAGGAAATCTTAGCTTAACATCAATATAGCTCAAAAGAACCCTAAATTATTATTGTAATGTATTATGCTACATTAATAAATTATGATAATAGTTAACTGATATGAGTAAAGGAAATTCTAATGATCATATTCCTACTAATATTTTTAAAAGAATTCTTTACAAAAGTTTGAAAGTATATTTAATAAAAAGAGAAAACATTTTAAGAGCATAATAAAAAAAAGAAAATGTGGGTTTTTTTATAAAATGGAGTACTACTCAGCCATAAAAAATGAGAAATTAGAGATATTTATAGCTAAATGGATGCATATCGAGGCAATAAGATCTTAAGTGAAATAAATAGGACACACATGTGTAAATACCATAGCTTAGCAAGACCCTGTTTTAAAATAAAAATTAAAAATCAAAAAGATTGCAAATGTAGCTCAGTCTGAAGGCCCTGGGTTAAATCTCTAGTACTGCTGCATACATACACACATACATACATACATACACTCATACATATACATATACACATACACATACATACATACATACATACATACATAATGTTATCTTGCTTTCTTCCCTTCTGCAGTGCAAAGACTCCAAAAATATGGCTCCTCGACCTGGGATTTCCCAGCCTTCCAAAATCTTTATGCTTTATAAATTACCCAATTGGTGGCACTCCATTACGACAACGGGAAGCTGACAACCAGGTGATGTTATGGCTTCATCTCTGCCATCTTTCACTTCCTCTTCTCGTTCCCTAATTGTTACCAAGGAAAAGGGAGCATGTTCTGGTGATGTTCACAGAAAACCACAGACTGATAGCCTGCTTAGATCAGAAGGTACCTGCTCTACCTTGTATCTGGGTGATCCCCAAAGCCTCATGAGGTCATCAGTGGGCTTTTGGAGGTGGATGGGTCTAAGGTGTGTGTTGCTGGGGTTGATTCATGGTGCAATGCTAGGATGAAGGCTGCCTCGCCCTGGGTGTGAGCGCTGCCCACCCTAAACTTGCACAGCCTGGTAAGATGTAAGGGACAGAAAGAGAGTTGCTGCTTGTTGCTAGTTTCTTGCTGCTGCTTGTCTTTTCCCCTTTCCTGCCTGTTCTGCGATGCACTTCAGCCATGCCACCCTGCCTTGGAGCCAGCTGATTAGGGACTGAAAACTCCATTTGGCTAAAACTGTGAGTCAAAATAAACCTTTACTCCTTTAACTTTGGGCATAATTATTTTGATTCAGCAATGAAAAAGTAACTAAGCATCATAATCTCCATCTTGGAAGATAAACTCTTCTCTCCCGATTGACACACTTGACTGCCAACATATTCTTACAATCTGTTGGACAAATATGGTATTCCTGATATGAATAAGTACACTGAGAGAGAAAATGTCAGAAATTCTAGGAAAGAGCATAAAATCTTTTGTGGCGACAATATATTCTTTCTTGGTTGTCCCAGTTAGGTGTTACTCTGCTGAATAAGACCAACTCCAAGGCTGAGAAGTCAAGAGAAATAGGCCCTTCCACTTGTACATGTGAATGTGGTTCCACTGCAGCCAGACGCTCTTCTTGAGTAGCTATGCGGTACTGTGCCCTCTTGGTCATTCATTCTAGTATTTTAAGTTTGGTGAAGCTATGGAAGCTATCTTTGTCCCTTGTACAGATGGGATGAAGCTTACCCAATCCCCATCCAGATCTTCACTGCTCCCATTGTGTCAGCATTTGTGACCTCATCACTGTGGTCACCTAGGGGATGAGAAGTAGCTGGGGTAGAGAATTTCATGCTCTCTTCCATCCCAATGGCGGAGATTGAACCAGGGACCAATTTATACCCAAATGATTCTCCTTGGTCCTTTGTCCTAATTGTGATAATACATGTATTATTTCTTTGTCAGTTATACTCTCTTTTGGCCTTTGTGATAGAACTCTGCATTGAAAATCGTAAGTACCATAGGGGCCTTGGAGCACAGGATAACTCTAGTGACAGATGTCTGTATGGAGGGAGAGGGAGGATGTCTATTATACTGTGGGAAACAAGAAAACAGTGTCTGCTCTTCTCTGATCTCTGAGATCCAGTGTCTGGAGGCTGAGAGGTTTTAGAAATCACAATCTTGAATATGCAAGCAGACATAGAATGGGACTGGATTGGGAAGTTTTTTGTTGGTTTACTTGTAAGCCTGAGGAAGCAACTTGCTGACTGAGAGTAACAGGACATTATAGAGAGATGAGGAACCCTGTGTAATCTGAGGATATGTGAACAAGTTTCCGGACAATGGACTCTGACCAAAGGTGCTTTGTTTTAGTCTTGCTCTGATTCAGGCATGCTCCACATAATACAACTTTTGAGGACAAAGATGGCAATGAGATAAAGATGGACCATCTGGAAGAGCCAAGTAAGCAAATTTTGCTGCTTACCTCTGGATTCTTTTGGCCATAGCTGGCCATTCTAGTCATTTCCACAGACTCTGCTGGGTAACTGGGCATTCCAGGTTCCACGCAAGACCCAATGAATTCAGCAGGCTCTTCCTGTTCTGCACGACTCTCCTTTCCCTATGCTTAGCTTTAGGGCTGTGACCTTTATTTCTAAAGAAATTTGCTTTTAAGCAAAGGTTTGGTTCTGAGCCCTCATTAACTCTTGTTGGTTGAAATGTTTCTCTTTTGTCATCTATACATGGGATTTATTTTAATCAAAATTCCCTCCTAAGTGAGTCAGTGACTAAGCCAGAATTGTGTATGTTAGAAAGTGGAAGAAAATAAGGCTGTTCTCCAGAAAATGTCTATAAATTTACCTTTGTGATAGAGAAGAGGGAAGAAGGACTTTGTGAAGATGAGGTCATCATGCAAGGATATTGAAAATCTATTTTTCCTGGCTGACATTTTGAATACTTCTTGCCTATAACTCTTGCAGATAACAGGAACTTTTTTTTTTTTTCTTTGCGGCTCAGGGCCTTCAACATGGAAATAACATTCTTCATCACTGAGATACATCCCTGGCCTGCGATCACAATCCCCACAGGCTATGTGTTATGGAACTTGCCCCTTTGTCAAAAGTTAGCTGTGCTCACTTTTCCCTGTTTGAGGACTCTTGTGACATCACAGGAAGGGAACACCTGTATTCTGGGGCTCTCTGGCCTCCCATGACTTTTTCTTCATGAGCATGTCCTGTAGACACTCATCCCAGGTTTCCCTCATGTAAAATGAACATGCCTTATCTCCAAAAGTCTATTGTGCTGCATTGAGGTATTAAAAATAAGTGAGTTGAGGCCAAGAATTTAATTCAGTCGTTCCGCCACCTGCCTTGCAAGTGCGAGGTCCCGAGTTTGATTCCCGGTACCAAAAAAAAAGTGATTATCTGAATACATATTTAGACTTGGGAAAAATTTTTTGTTTTTAAACTTCAGGGAAGAATGATATTCTATAGTTGAATTTGTCGCATTCCCAAACACAACTAAATTAGGCGATAGCTTTAGGTGAACACATTCAGAATGTTTAGTCCCAAACTGTCATTTCTGTAAATGATAAAAGGAGGTATGATAAAAAATATGGTGGAAACTTACTTTTTATTAGAGATAAGGTCTTGCTATGTAGTTCAAGCTGACCTTGAACTCACTATATAGCCCAGACTGGCCTCAAACGCAAGGTGATCCTCCTGCCTCAGCCTCCTGAGTGCTGGGATTACAGGCATGTGCCATCACACCCAGCACTTACTTTTTAAAAAAGTTACAATAAAAGATACATTGTCATTAATCACTCTCAAAATACCCCCCCACACACACACTTTGAACACACTTATTCTTTCCATTTTCTGAAGCAGTTCTGGAAGTCCTGCTTCATGTCTCTGTTTGAGCTGTCTGGCTGACTTGATGTTCTGAATCAATTCAGAAGATTTACAAAATGGAATTTTAATGTTGAAGGAAAGTTCCATGTGCCGTGGTGCCAGATCCTGCACACCCTAATATTGTACAAGCCTGCTTTTCTATTTGATAGCACAGTAGCAGCATTCATATATTTTTTATCACACCTCATAAAGACACAAAAAATTTTTAAAACTGCTTCCAAAATTGGCAATGATGAGAGATAAGCATATTGGGAAAAAGGGAAGGCATTTTGAGGAAGTTTAATGGCAGTGAGTCTTTTCTGTAATAGTTGTTTAAACATTCACCATATATTTTGATCATGTTGCACATATTATGAGAATACATAATTTAATGCAGTTGGCTAATTTAAGTAAATTGCCTCAAAACTTACACGAGTTCACTGTAATTCTCAGATATTTGTACAAATGCCTCTACTATGTAATCCATAATTGAATTCCACCCTCTGTTAATGTTCTTGAGACCCATCTTTGCCCTTAGATACCAAAGCCAGAAAATTAAGGGTTAAAAAGAGGTCAAGAGGTAGGATTTTATCTGAAACTTCCTATTCCAGCAATTTGTGAATGGGCATTTAACCCATGGAAAGGTAAGGAGATGTCAATTTATTATTATTATTATTTTTGTGGTACCAGGGATTGAACCTAGGTCCTTGTGCTTGTGAAGCAGGCAGTGGAAACACTGAGCTAAATCCCCGGCCCCAAGGAGATGTCAATTTATGACCTAGGGCTTCTTGTACCTGAGCAAGGAATGGAAAGATGAGTACAGCTGTTCTTTCTAGGAGTTCAGAACATGACGGGGCTCTTACCTCTTTGATGCAGTTTTCCCTTTGCAAGGCATTTCTCGGGATTCTCTGTGTCCTCGCAGATGCTGGGAAATCCTGGGGCGCTGGATGTTATGTCCCCTCCTACACTATTCTCAGTGCTGATGCTGCACACAGCTTGTGCTACGAAGAGCACATTCCCCAAATTTGAGTGTTAATTTTCTCGACTATCGACTGGTTTTTTACTAATTATGTGAACCAAAATATAGGGAGTTGGGTGAGCTACTAAAATATGGGCATTCTGGTGAGATTTTCCTCTAATGCTCACCATTACCTCTAACACAATAGATTGATTTTTGTTATAGATAAATAGCACTTTGGGCTAGAGGGGGAGAGCATAATTACATATTTTCTTATCAACTAATAGAGCTAAAAGCACTGGTGCTTATATAGACAACATTAGCTATAATATTTTTAATTAGCTAATGCAAAAAAATTATTGTTTTCTCTTTGCTGTGGAAGTAAGATGAAAGTTGTAAGCTCTTTGATGTCTACTGACTTCTAGATTTTAGAGAACAGCAACTACTTAGGGACAATTTATAAACATTGGCATTGTCTGCAGAGAAATCTGGAGAATCAGAGCAAAATTACAAAGAAGGATTTGGTCTTTTATTGGGGGATAGATAACCTGGAAGTATTTTCTTTCATCCCATTTGTTCTGTATTCATCTTATAAAATAATAATTTTCTGGGACAAGTATTTGGCAGACTATGGGTCAAAGGTCGTGTTGTCCTATGCTAAGAGGAGTTCTCTAAGTGTCTGAAGGTACAAAGACATGTTGAGTCTTTTGCACATTTCTACTCTCTAAGATCAGTATCTTCCTTCTTCCGGCTCATATATGTAACCAAGAGACTTTCTTCTTGTTTCAGTGTGTCCTATGGAGTCATTAAGCACAGAAGTTCTGAGGAGAAAGGAAGATGAGACTGGAAAAGAACCCTCGATACTCGTGAGAATAATAAGAGCGTTCCGGGATTCCAAGGCTGAGATCTGCGCTCCTGGGCCATCAGTTTGAGAATAACCACTCCTGTAATGAGTCACCTGTGGCAGTGGGTCACAATCAGGAGTGAGATTCTGAGTTCTCCCATTATCTATGCTTACGGGGGGAAAAGAATGTAATAAATATTTTGAAACTCTCAAAAAAGTTCTATTTTACAAGGAAATTTCTGTAAAATTTCTGGCTTCTTCCACTGTTTTATTCAATCCAAATCTCAATCCAGGTGAAACCGCAGGTGAGTGAGTGACAGGCTGTCTTCTGATGCTAGACCAACTCGCAGAGTCATTCCTGCAGGTAAAGATCAGGATCACTCTATAGCTAAGCAGCATTAGAATCCAAAACTGCAGCTTTCTTCTCTCTGATCAGGATGACCTCATAGCACCATCACTTAAACATTTAAAATGTTCTGTCTAGGTTATATTGTTTTCTTATATGACTGCTATAATTCTTGCAGTAGAATATGGTGCCATGGGGATGGATGGGGGAGGAATTGCTATAGATTTTCTTTTCCTCTTCAAATTGTGATGGCTCCTATGTTACTCAGCTTCCCATCACTGTGTCAAATGCATAACACTTAGAAAAGGATTATTTTAGTTCCCAGTTTTGGACCAGTGCATGTCTAATTGGCCCTGTTTCTTTTCGCCTATGGCAAGCCTGCACACCATGGCACAATTGCATGGCAGAGCAAGAACATTTACCTCATAGCCAAGGAGTAAAAGAGAGAGAAGGAGCGGGTGGATGCCCTTCAAGGGCAAGACCCCAATTATTTGAAAACCGCTCACTAGGCCCTACCTCTTAAAGTTTCGCCTGCCTCCCAATAGTGCCAAGCTGGGGATCAAGCCCCTGGGGCATAAGTATACAAACCATATCACCCTCCAAAATCTTATTTCTTGACTATCCAGTGAAATGAAGTTTTACCTCTCCTCTGTCAGCACAGATGTTCTTTTCATGCAATTTCCAACATATAATTCACTGTCATGTTTACATATCATATATATGTTTGCCTCTGCTTTTCCTCTCTTTTCATCTTTTAACTATATGCAATAACTGTGTTATCATAGATTATTAGGTCATCCAAGTGGAAATCTCTAGCAGATGTATTAGAGGTATAATAGGGACTGGAGGAGGGACCAAGGGAAAGGAGAGAGAGAGACAGACAGATGGACAGACAGAGACAGAGAGACAAACAGAAAGAGAGACAGAGACAAGAGAGAGATCCCATAGAATAGTTTTGTGAGGTGAAAGGAACTTTTTGTAGTAGAAATATAAAACTTCTGGTCCTCTCAGAAAAGTTCTATGAGAGGTTTCTACATAAAATAGGAAGTTAAAATAGTTTGGAAAAGTCTCTTCATTCTGATAATAATAACAATTTGTGATAAGGAACCACAAAATCCAAATTCACTCTAAGATATGTAAAGTGGACGTGGGCTATTAGTCTCTTGTGTCTACATCTGTTTGTTTGGGGTGTGTGCCATTTTCTACATTCGTATGCTATCTTTTTCTCTTCATGTGCCTGAGTTTTCTGGAGGCATTTCTTCTTATTCACCTTACATTTTATTTTACATTGCCTTCCATTTCCATGTTTTTAATTAATAGTTATTGATTTTTTTGAAAAATCTTAAATAATTTTTCCTATTCTCTTTATTTGGAGGCTTATGTTTGTCTATCTATTACTTTGTCTCCTAGGGGTAATTCTTATTGAGTAATTTCTTTTATACTCTTTAGTCTATACGATCAACGAATTTCTTACCAATATTTTTCATTCTTTGTATTTCTCCACTTTAAAAGGAGAAAATGAAAGTCTGAGGCACTCTTGCCCCACTCCCCAAAATGAAATTTTAGAGTAATGTGATTCTCCTGAATTCAAGGATACCAGAGGCTTTAAAATCAGACATCAAACTAACAGCTCTTTAGGTATTTACAGCAGGAAGTGGTTTACTACAGAAAATTAATACACCTGCATCTTTGTGAGCAAGTTCCAAAACCCCCAGGAAGCCACTGTGAGAGATCAGAAAGAGCCCTAACTAGAAACCAAATTTACTAGCAACACAGTCATAGCAATTCTAGCTCCAGAAAGTACATTTCTGTCATTTAAGTCATCCATTCTACGGCACTTTGTTGCCAATTCAAGGAGATTAATACAGATTTTGATACTGAGAAGTGGGGTGCCGTTTTATCAAAGCCTAAAAATTTGGAAATGGCCTTGAAAGTAATGAGTAGATGCTAGAACAGTTTTGAGATAATATGCTATAAAAAAGGGGATTGCCTTAAAGAGGCTATGGGCAGAGAAAGAGGATGCTAAAGGCAACTCTGGTAAAATCTCAGATGGAAACAGGGAACATATTATTGGAGAGGTATTACTTTAAAAATTCATTAAAAATGAAAACACACTTGGCACAATTGTGTCCTCATGTTTTGGGGAAGGTGGAACTTTTGAACAATAGCCTTGGCCATTTAGATGAAACTGTAAGCAAAAGAACAACCAGGCTTCTTCCTATTGCTTCTGGTGGAATGTGATAGGAGGAGGAGAAATTAAAGAAATCATTAAGTAAAAAGAAAGAAGGTCATGAAGATTTGGAAAAGTCTCAGCCTATGCAAAACTCAAAAAACTCAGAAAGACTATTGTGTTGAGAATATCAAGAGTGTGGGGGGAAAGCCCCTTCATGGAGAGATTATCCATGACTTTAAGTGGTCACCTCTGCAAAAGCCAGTACTAGAGATTGAATTTCACCAGCAGAGGCACTATCATCTTGGACCAAAGGGAAGAGAGATGGGACAACATTTTTAAAAAAGATTATTTGACTTTTTGGATCTTTATATTGGAAAAATAAAGATATTTGACTATGAACATCCCTTATTCTTCAAGAAAAGATAAGACTGATCCCAATATGATTCAGAGTTCATGAAGGTATAACAGAAAGATGTTTCTCTTAATTTCAGGGGATGGGAGGAGTTACTCAGCTTCAATATTCCAGACTTCTCCAGCCCAGCACCTGTGGGGCAGGGAGACCAGGAATGCTGAAGGGATGAAGCTACTACCTAGGGCTCTGAGAGCAAAGCTGCCATCCCAGTGACTACACAAGGAGGATTATCATCAAGCCTTAAGACCTGGTAGAATGTGCCTTGCAAGGTTTTGAACTTGGTTAGGACCCATCACTCTTTCCTTCTTTCTTATTTCTTCCTTTGGGAATAGTGATGTATATTCTATGCCTGTCCTACCCTTGTATTACAGAAGCATAAAACTTGTCTGCTTTGACAGGTTCACAGCTGGAGAATTATTTTTCCTCAGGATGAATTGTACTTTGACTCACCTCTATCTAAGGTGAAACTCTGGACTTTAAAACTGGTGCTGGGATGAGACTTTTTAGGGTTGTTGTCAAAGGGTGAATGAATTTTACATGAGAGAAGAACAGGAGTCTTGGGGAGCTAGATGCAGTAATGGTACAGGCTGAACTGTGTCCCTTCCAAATTTATGAGCTGAAGCCATCACCCGCCATGTAGCTGTATTTGGGGATAGGTTCTTCACAGAGGGGATTAGAGTTAAATGAAGTTATGAGAACCAGACCTTAACACATGCATTGGTGCTTTTATAAGAAGATATGCTAGGGATCTCTCTCCACATGTGCTCAGAGGAAAGGTGACATGAGAAAACAGAGAGAAAGCAGTTGTCTACAACCCAGGTAGAGACACCTCCATAGAAATCTGATTTTTTCAGCACTTTGCTCATGTACTAAGTATCTTAAGAGAAACATATTTATGTTATAGTTCTGGATGACAGAAATGTGAGGTAGTGTCTCAGTGGGTTCATTCCCTCTTTCTGCTGGTCGCTGACTGTGCCAGACATCCTGGGCCACCTCACCCCATCCTGGGCTTCTGTTCCCCCCAGCATTCCTCCCTGTGTCTTTGTACTCACATGTTCTTCTCACGAGGAAAAATCATCTTAATCCCATCAAAATTTATTGTAACTTGATTACATCTGCAAAAATTCTGTTTCCAAATGAGGTCACAATAACAGGTACCAGAGGATAGGTCTTAAACATGCCATTTTTGAGGGGGAAGAAACACAGTTAGTAATATAATTTTTTAAATTTTGAAAATGTGCCATGGTGATGAATGGTGATGAAATCAGAAAAAGTTGAAAATAGTCAAGCAGTAAATGAAAAATCTTTATTATTTTTGCAACTTATTTGCAAATCCTAAATTATCCCAATATAAAAAATTTGTTAAAGAGAGAAATGAAAATGTACTTTTGTGAAAGGATGCCTGTAAGAATTTTAAGGAAATATGCTTAAAACAGGAAAATTAGAAAGCTTCCCTACATCTGTAACACAAACATACTCTGTGTAATTATTGTAAGTCTCCAAAATACATATAATAAAGGTTTTTAATTATATAATTTCTCATTAGACATCTTTGCATGAAGCCTTTATCTTTCAGTGTGATCACAGTAAATCAAATTATGGTAGTAGGTGAGAGATTCCCTTTTACTTTCCATCTATGTGGCCTCATGATAAATGATACAGCAGAAATTCAGTGTAAACTCTCACGATGAAGAGGAAGCAAGAAATTGTAAGTTCAAATATATACAAATATTTTCTTTTTAGTTTTATAACTTTTATTCTTAACTGAGAGACCCCGAGAGAAAATAAGAGCATAAGTGAAAATAGGGTTGCAGATGTCAGGGATATGTACAGGCTATTTAGGTCTGCCTGTCAGGGGACACTAGGGCCCTCTCAACAAGAGACAAGTCTGCGAAGCATGTGGATAGCAGGAGGATAAGGCATTTGTTTCCAGTCTGAGAGACCAAGAGTGGTTACAGAAGAGCACGTAGAGCTACAAAGATCTAGAACCCCCCTTGGCCAGGCAGGAAAGTTCCTATTTATGAACCTGTTGGGACCAATGCTACATAATTCTAGGGAAAAATCATTTGGTTAGCCTAGTTCTCTTGCCTACAGCCCAGCTACAGAATAACTCCAGTTTGGCCTCAGGTCACAACTGAGACGTCAGTGATCCAGTGATGCTGTGATTCTCCAGGACAAGAAACAGCCTGGGA